CTTTTGCCTTTCTCTGAGGCCGAGAGTGTGCGACTTGCCTACAGTTGCCTAGTAGCTTTCTGTGGTTGAAGTCGAATTTAAACTCTCTGTGAATAAGTGTGGATTTAATGTAATTAATATAATAAATAAAATATTGTGATCTGTTATCCTGCCAAATGAAGTACCTTGGTAAAGATGTGAGACTGGCTTAGTGCATCGTATAATTTTTGGAAACTGCTTATTTTAAATTCATTTTTCTTAGTTTTAAGTGTCGTCAATGTGGATGTGTGTTCTTTAGTATTTTTTTTAATGGGATTCTATCAGTGGTTCCCATTTTGACTGTTAAGTGGGCATGCATACTGAGGACTCAATTGGCATGCACATAGCACCAGCGTCCAACAAAAGAAAGCAAAAAGCCCTGAGGATATCTATGTCTCTTAGAGTAGCAAATTTGATCACTGTAACGGAATGGGAATGTCAGATTTGTAGAATTGGTACAGTTTGTTCCTTTGCTATCACATACAAAAATATCTTGATTATTGGAAGATTTGGAAAATGCCATGGCTTTGCTTTTTAAAACAATAGCAATCCAAGCATAAATTAACCTAAACAACTTTAGTGTTGTAAGGTGCAACTGCGTGAACTTTTCATATATTTAAAGCGGTAAGGTAAAAGCCTTCTTTATGCATAACTTTAATATTAAGATTGATTGCTAATCATAAGATTTCTACCAACAAATTGTAGCTAGCATGTTAAGGCTAATACATATAACTAACCTGCATTTTATTGCAAGAAGTCTTCCTTAATTTATCAGATTGGCAGTTTTTAATATAATCTCCTCCTGATTTTTGTGTCAAGAGTATAGTCCATATTCAAGTTACTGTTTTTACTCTATTCTTTATGAATATTGTGCTTAACCTGCCATAGAGATGCTCATGAGCCCAGATAGAAGTGTTTCACTTTCTTCTTTACAGCTGTTATTCCATTTGTTCTCATATTAGAGGAATCTAGTTAACTGTTTAAATTAAGAATGGTTGCTTTGTTTTGTTTTGGAATAATTTGTTTAGGATGATGTCTAGCTTTGATCATTTTTCTGCCACTTTTAAAACATAAGGTAATATTATTTTAAATTGGTTTTCAATTTTATCAGAATTTTATTTATTTTCTACATTTATATGCCACCCTTCTCACCCCAAAGGAGACTCAGAGCAGCTTACAAGATATAATTGTTTCTGATTTGTGCGCTATTTTCTTTGGACTTCATTCTGGACTTTGGACTTTATACAATAAAGACACAAGGAGTCATTCATTAGGTGTTGCTGTGGCTGGGCAGCTAGGCCGTTGTTATAGAATTTTACTATATTCTATTACTGTTGCTTTTAATATTCTGTATTTATAATATTCTGTAATAATTGACAGCATTTACAATTAGTTGTATGATGTTTTGAGATAATGTTTTAGTTCTGAAAAGTGACATAAAATCTTTCTAATGAACAAATACAAACACTGTCTTGACACAATGTGATATTATTTACTCCTTTTATTTTGTAGACACCATACCTGGCTGGCATAGATTATCTTCTGATTCCATCTCTCTTCACTTCTATCAAACTGCATCTTTTTTCTTGCTCTTTTTATAGTGTCTGTAGATGCTCAAATGAATTGTGGAAATTTACTCTTATTAATAGAAAAAAGATAGAACATTGTACTGGTTTAAATCAGCAAGTTCTCATCATAGGCTTCCATGCTTGCAAGCATAATATAGCTATTTATTTATTATATGATGAGGGTTGTACAGAATGTAATGCCTGTAAGGTCATAACTCATCATGAGATATATGCAACTATGCCTATGCCTATGACATGGAAGTGTTGAAAATAGTCTCCATCAGTTGTGATCCAATTGTGCCACTTTTGAATCCATGCATCAAATTCACTTTGGAAAAACCTTTTCAGGCACTTACTGGTCAAATGTCTGATAGCATATTTCACTTCATCTACATCATTGAAGCACAATTCTTGAAGGGATCCTTCATCTAACAGGACAAATTAAAGACTGAGGGTGTCAGAACAGGGCTGTAAGGCATGATATGGCACCATTGGGTATCCCATTTGTGCAAGAACTTGAGATGCTGCCAAAGATGTATAGGGCCGTGCATTGTCATGGTGTAATTTGATTGCATTCTACTGTTTTGTGGTGTTTTCTTACGAATAGCTTCATGAAGATTTCAGAATGGTGCAGCGTATTAGTTACTGTTCATTATTGTCTATCCCTTGAGGATATAATCAAAATCACTCCAAAGTCATATCAGATGACATTCACATTCCACTATGCCGATCATGGGCTTTTGAATTTCTTCAGTCTCTGTGAGGTGGAATACTGTTATTCCATCAGCTGGTTCATGTTTTCTGGGTCATATTGTATATGCTCAAGTCGTAATCACCAGTGTAAACATTCCCGAAAAGAGTTTCCTCATGGGCTTCAATTGCTGCCAACAGTGCTGAACACACATTCAAACTCTTCTTTTTCAGACCAGCTGTTAATTGATGAGGAACCCATTTAGCACTTTTCTGTATTCAATGTTGTGGATATTTTGTTTGGCAGCATTGTGACAATTATATGCCGGTCTTTGTGAATCATGTTGTCTACTCTGTCTTCGTCTGACTGTTTTTCATCAGTCTATGCATGGTTTATCTTCAATACTAGTGTTGCTTTCTTTAAAACAATTCACCCATCTTCGTACCTAATTCTTATCAGTTGTTGCGTCACATATACATTTCTGAGCTTTCTTTGGATGTTGATAGCAGTCCACCCTTCTTTGGTCAAGAACTCAATGGCTGCCCTTTCTCCTGCTTCAATATCTATGGTTATGCAACACGCAGAAATATAAAAATTCTGTTAGCCATGCAGTAATAATTATCTGGTGGCATAATAGCATCACATTTGGATTAATTGTTTTAGAGAAAATGGCATACAGGCATTACTTTCAGTACACCCCTTATATTTTTCACACATGATGGTGTAGAGGGGAAGCTGAAAGGAATGAGTTTGTGAGACTTATTCTCTTGTGAGGCCCTCTCCCTATTTGCTTTGTTTATTTGCATTCCTACAACATTATTTCTGTTTGATACTCCAGACCAAGCAAACAGTTGAAATCAAGAGATGTTTTATTAGCTTTAACCTCATCCCATTTGCTTCTGCAGCTCCTCACCATTATTTTTAGTATTGTTCCAAATCACTCCCCAACACCCTTGAGGAGATGGGGGAGTTGAAGTGGAGAGCAGCAAAAATGTTTTCCTTCCCTGTCATGGTAACATAATATTCTACTGCACCAAAAAAACCTGCTGTCAACATGGAGATGCAACTCTTATTATTTTTTTCCATATACATTGGGGATGGCCAGAGCACCATCCACAGGCATCCCTCTCAGGTCTATTTTTGTGGTTCCAGGTGAAAATTTTGTAGTTTTTTTTTTTACTCCAAAATGCCCTCTAGAGCAGTGGGTCCCAACCTTTTTTTGATCACTTTGACCAGAGACTACTTGACCAAGGACCACTTTGATCAGGGACCACTCTCCAATATTAGTATGAAAATGGTTACGAATCAGTCTTTGATTAACTTTAGATTCAGTTTGGAGTGCTGATTCAGAAAATTGCATTGGATAGACCACATCAGCTCTAGTTTCTGATACAGAATATATGCCATGGTCAGTGACAGGGAAGGTGGCATGAAAAGCAGAAATAAAACAAACCAATAAATAAATGAAGAGGAATGAGGCTCATGGACCAGATGTTTGTCTTCACAGCCCACTGATGGTCCGAGGCCCACAGGTTAAGGACCACTGCTCTAGAGGATATGTGTTTGGGTGTTTCTGCCATGTTTTGGGCATTTGAAGCCAATTTATGCCCAGAGTCCTCTTTTGGCCACAAAGGTCTAAAAACGTGGTGAAAAACACTTCACCTGTCCCTACAGGGCATTTGAGGGCAAAAAAAGATTGGGGCGGGGGTGGGGGGGAGGCAGAAGCAAGGTTTTGAGGTCTGGGCTTTTAAGGACTCATGGGAGAGGGCTAAAGTGACCCCCCAGTTCTCCACAGTTGCCCACTCATAATTTATATTGTTTTATTCTTCCTCCATTCTGCACTGACACACTCCTTTTTGTAGGAGGGGATGAAGGAAAGAATAATCTGTAAAAAGACATAGTTTTTTTTTTCTACGAGAGCAAGATTTTCTTAGATCCTCTTTGAAACTGTCTTTAGTTGGCTCCCTAGCACGGAGTTTCCAACAAGTTGCAAGGTCATTCACAGTAGCTGAGACACAATTTGTGAAAGCCACAATGGCTGTCTGGCGTAATAAAATCAATAAGAGATTCCCCACCTGGAAAAGCCTAGCTGTCAACACTAAGAATTGTGGTGCCCTTTTTAGTGAATTCTAGAATTATAAAGACACTGTATATTGAAACTTATAGGAAGACAAAATAGTTCATATAAAGAGAAAATAACCTGTTATGTGGGGGATTTACATATTTCAGAATTAAACCTGTATCAATCCATTCAGTCCTAGTTACAATTTTTGAAGTGTTTGCATTGTTTAATGACATTTTTCTTTTTCTGTGGCCATCATTTCCTTTATTGTTGTGTCTTGATTGCACTGGATTCCTTGTACTGTCTATTTTTCCACCCTGAGCCAGGTGCAGGAGGCCAGTTTGCTCACCTCTCTAACCATGGAGTAAATGGCAGAACATTTGCTTTAGTAAACTGTAGTGTTGAACTCAGGCAAACATTAAGAACGGCAGAACTTTTCCATGTGTTCATTTGTTTTAACTTCATTGTGCCTTTAAATTATTTAAAACTTTTAAGCATTTATAGTAAAATAGCAACATATATATATTATCTAATAATGTTTTTAGCCTTTGCAAGATATCTTGGCTTCCATATTGGGAGAAAGGGGCGCAAGAAAGAAAAGAGAAAGTCTGTCATGTTACATAGTATATAATGTAATGTTTCTCTTCTTGACTCTCTGCAGGTTGGGAATCCACGTGTTGAACTCACACTTTCAGAACTTCAGGATATGGCTGCCAGGCAACAGCAGCAAATTGAAAATCAGCAACAAATGTTGGTTGCCAAGGTAAATTGTACTTCTAGTGACATGAGGAAGGAAAGAGCTGAAAATGTGTTGTCTTCACAGAAGGCTGTAGCTCCCAGCAGTACGGAAAAATTGATCCTTGAGAACTGATATTAATCCTGTGTTAGGCAATACATCTTGTCTGTGACTCTCTGTTGCTTTAGATTTGTTTCAGTAAACACAGAGCTTGAATCAGATTCAATTCTTTCCTTTTTGTTTTGCTATATAAATGCTGTAGTCGGTAAAGATAACAGCATGAGCATATTTCACTCATTTTTTTAAAAAATGCCTTGACGGTAAAGGCATTCATATCAGTGGAACACTGTGTTGTCTGCTGTTGTACCAGTGTAGCCAACATGCAGCATTTTTGTGCTGATGCAGCAGCTCAGAAAAGCAGGAGCACACAAGCACTACAATTCATAGCATACTGTGGGACTGGGCTGCCCCAAATGCATAAGCAACAGAGAACTGAGCTCAGTTAACATACTTAAATGATCCAGGACTTATTGCTTTCAATAAAGTTCCACCTAGTTAGTTGAGGAACCACAGTTTCAGTGCAAACAGAAATATTTATGGTTTTGTCTCACAAAGCATTTATATTTCTTGGAGAGGCAACAAGCATATGGATAAGATCCAGTCCAGCATTCCACACTGCTGCTGACCCCCTCCTTCTTTTACTGTTGCTTCTGCATTTCTGCCTTGACCTTCCTAACAACAGCGCATTACCCAGGGGGACATCTAGAAATAGGAATACAAAAGTACAGCTGCTGTATGGGTGGATTGGTGGGTGGGTGAGTAGGGGGATAGCCATGTATTAGCACCTGAGTAAACTAGTCCAGTTCCATTTGAAATTGTTAGATTCTCGGCCATCACCCATTCTTGTGATACAACATTCTAAGTCTCTGTGTTGCGTGAACACATTGTTTTTGTACAACATTGAATTGTATTGACTTTTGTTTGTGCTGAATCAAAAGAAATAGCTTTTAAAGTTATATTTGTTGTTTTGTGCAAAACAAAAAGCATACTGCAGGAGAAAAAGGAAGCATTTCCTGTGTTTGTTCACTCTAAAGAAGTAGTACATATCTTGATCCAGATCTCCTTATCTTTACCTGCTTGTAATCCTCTGCTGGCTATTGTTTCTTTTGGGAAATTGTTTAATGGAGGGTTGGGATTCATTTTGCTGTAGGAGGAAGCATGTTCGAGGAGGAGGAAATACAAGTGGCAGGAAATTCAACAGATGCGTTGGAATGAATGTTTCACTTGGAATTTTTTTTCCAAAGTGTCCATGAGAAATGTGAAAGTGAAATATTTGGTATGTTTTGGAGGATGCAACCTAGACAAATTTATGCACACTTTGCATAATAGCTGTGTTGAACATTCATTAAATGCGATTCTTAACTATGTTTGTTTCTAAACTTAGATTAAGCAGACAAAAGAAACCACTACGTAGTTTAAGAGCTGGCTTAGTGAGGCTTTGTTTTTGTACCTCTGATAAATATGCATGTAGCTGGTGCTGCTCTTCTAAAATAAGACAGCATGATTACATGTTCTGCTTGTTTTGTTAGGAACAGCGTCTACGTTATCTCAAACAACAAGAACGCCGTCAACAACAGTCAGTGTCTGAAAGTGAAAAGCTTCAGAAACTTAAAGAGCGAGTGGAGACCCAGGAGACAAAGCTGAAAAAAATACGTGCCATGAGAGGGCAGGTGGATTACAGCAAGATTATGAACGGCAATTTGTGTATGGGTAGTTCCTTCCCATTTCTTTTAACTTCTGAGCTTCTTGATTCAGGAGGTGATTCAAAGCCAGGCCACTTAGTCATATGCCTCTGTGTTTGAGCTTCTCCTGCATATCCCATTTGTATGAGGAAACATTAATGTGAGTCATCCTGTTCATCTGGATGCCATTTCCTCAGTCATGGTTGCAATTTTCCCCACTGCTCAGCTGAAGCAAATGATTGCCATTTTTTTCTATATATATATATAGTACGACCCTCTTTAGTATTTATGGTTTACTTACCCATGCTCCAAAAAGATATCCTCCCACTCCCTGGAAATGTTCAGGGCCTCTCTAGGTTCTCAGTTGTGATTCCATGGTATGCTTTTAACTCAAGTGTAGTCAACACGTAGAGTTCACTATTCATGGTTTCAGGTATCAGTGTAGGAGTGTATACCTTGGAACATTTTCCCCATGAGTGGTAATCAGAAAGGAATCTGTGGATTAGTGTCTGCCCACAGTTTACTGGCTGAAGGTGTATGGTGAGTTTCTAGGAAAAAAGCCCAGTTGTAGTCTAAGGACACAAATACGTTGCCAATCCCTTATACACTGAAATAGGTGAAATGGTTTTTTTCTAGGGGAAAAAAATAGGTGAAATTGTTTTTTTCTAGGGGAAAAAAATAGGTGAAATGGTTTTTTTTCTAGGGGTAAAAACCATTTGTAGTCAAAGGACACAAATACGTTGCCAGTCCCTTATAGACTAAAATGGAAATCTCTTTTGGTCCTTCATATTGGATAGCTTAAGAAGCAGCGATCTAGTTCACAACAATGGTTTTTTGGGTCACTATGAGGACATGTTTGGCCATGACAGAGCTGCAGGTGACCTTGTATTGGTGGAATGTGATGTGAAATACTGAAATAGTAAGTATATTAATATGCTAACATGATTCATTTGGAGCTAGAAAGAATTATTTGCATGTTTTAAGGACTTATTTCCAAATCAGCCAATCATATAGATCTCCTTCAGTATGGAACATAAATTTGTAGGTTGCCACATAGTGAACCAGGCACATAAATAGGAAAGGGGGTTGCAGTTTACTTGTTATAATGCTATTTCAGCCTTTTCTGCAGTCTTCTACATATGCTTTTTACTAATATGAGTTGCTTGTATATGAGTTGTGAAGTGGAACAGAAATTAATTTGGTCCAAACCTCGAATATTACAGGAACCAGAGGTTCATGGCAAGTTCCTGATGCTCCGTGTATCCTAACTGGGATTGTGTGGCCTCATGTCTCTAAACTCTGTTCACTTGCTCACAGGAATATGTGTGTTCAGTATTAGCGCCTACATTTGGCTTGTTGTGCCATATCTGATTATTCAAGCAGTTCCTTCTGCAGGTTGATACTGCCCAAAATCGTGCCGTAACAAAACTTTACTTAGGCCACAGCCTGCCCTCCCCCTCCCCTTATGCTTCCATTATTTTGCTCTTGTACTTGTTGCATAGGAAGAAAATATCATTGTTTATGGTAGGGATACAACCTCCATACCTCCTGGTGGGGTTATCTTATGCTTGCCAGATTTTACCATAGAGTCTATTATCTCTCTCACAGAAGTTTTAAATGCTTCACTTCCAGTTAAAGATCAAACATTCATCCGATTCCTGACTTGCATCTAGGTAGCAGTAGACCATAACTGCAACATGAAAGAACTTCTGTTGCTGATAAAAGGGTTTTACCTTCCCTCCACACACACATTTATCTCATTTTGTAGTCAAAGGCATTCACAGTGTAAATCCAGTTTTACTGCTGAGCAAATAAAAGATTTCCCACCACTGGCTTATGGCCTCTCATACCAATTTATATGTGTATTCTTTTTCATGTCATCTTTTATTTGTAGCTACTGAAATCGAACACATCAGTGCCATGTTCCAGGAAAAGCAACAAGAACTCCAAGCTGCAGTATTAAAAGTAGACCAACTTACTCAGCAGCTTGAAGACCTGAGGAAAGGAAAGTTGAATGGTTTCCAGTCTTACAATGGACAGATGACCGGACCTGCGGCTGTAGAATTAAAGAAGTTGTACCAAGAGTTGCAGGTAAATGACAAAGACATATTTTTGTTTTGTTTTTTAACTTAGAGCATATCCACAAAATTTAAGGTTATTTTTCCCACTTACTGTAATTCTACTTAATCAGGAATTCTAAAATGTTTCACCTTAAAAAAAAATTGTACGAGAAGTAGTCTCAACTCTGAATGATTACTGTTGTATGTTTTGTAGATTCGTAACAGGCTTAACCAGGAACAAAACACCAAGCTACAGCAACAGAAAGAGTTGCTGAACAAACGTAACATGGAAGTGGCTATGATGGACAAGCGCATCAACGAGCTCCGTGACCGCCTATACAAGAAAAAAGTTGAGGCACGTCAAAAAGAAAACATCCCTGTAAGATAAACTATTAAAAGGGCCACCTTTCCGTGATTTCTACAAAGTCCATAACACTTCATAAACGTTTCACTTCTTTCTACCCTAGAATGTTAACAATGTCAAATGTTTATGTGTCTTAAATTTATCTTGTCATGTAGGTTGAAATTTAATGTGAAAAATTAGTTCCTGCACAGAAACTGCCAGACCAAACATAGTAATAAGATGATCTTATTTTTATATTAGATTATATTAGAAATAGAAACCGTCTTCATTTATTAGTTCGATAATGAATTGTCTATTATGTAGGTGAGATTCTTCATTTGAGAACGTACTCTTCAAAATAAAAGAGTCACTTGGTAGCTTATACTGTCTTGCAGCCTATACATCACAGTAGTTGGTGATAGAGCTCTATAAAAGAAAAGTTGGACTTGCAGAAACATTGTTTGAAAAAATAAATATCTAGAAAAATAAAATGCCTAAAAGAGTAGAGGAAGGGGAGGGCAGGAGATAACTAAGCAGTTTCAAACTTCAGTGGGGAATACTACATTATGTAATGGTGATAATTTAAAAAAAACAACACTAAAATGGATGGATATCCAGGTACTCACATATCTTTGATTTGTCATTTTAGTTAAATCGGATAAATGGAACATCCTCACCTCAGTCATCATTGAATGCTTCAGGCAGAGTGGCAGCTGTGGGGCCCTACATTCAAGTTCCTAATTCCAGCAGTTATAATGTGCCGGTTGACCCAGTGAAGCCACAGTCTCTCACCATTACCACCAATGTAACTCATGGAAGATCTAAATCTGGTAAGCAGTTCACCATATACATATGGTGCTACTGTTTTGTGAAGTGGGCAGTATTATTGGAGATGGTTTTCTGTCCTTTCTGTCAAATGAAAATGAATTTGGTTCACCATTGTCTTATTTCTATGGTTTGTACTCTATAGATTTACAGAATACAAAGGCTTGATGCTTTGCCTTTTCTTTCTTTTACTACTGGATGTATTTGTGGATTTGTCAATTATATATCTAAATCATATATGGACTCTTAGTTAAATCCATATTTAGAATTGCAATAATTGCGAAATAGAAATGCTTTGATGCTGAAGACGTAAAACAGTTTAACATTTATCTTCATGTGCATTTATTTGAACTGTTTCTGTACCCTGCTGTTTTTTCTTGCATAGTTTACTTTAAAAGTGAATATTTTGGACTTCGCCAATGAAGACATTTCTGGCTATAGATTTAGTAACAGACACTTTTACCAACTATGTTATCAGCTTGGTAACTTGAGCCCTAAATATGATCAGGTTTCTTGTTTTTGTTTGGTTTTGAGCCATGTGGTCTTATGTATAATTACATAAGCTTTTCGAAATTCTGCTCTTCTTTCTTCCAAGATCTAACTTGTGGAGCGTTTCTGTCTAGGTTCTGTGGAAGGAATAGTGTGAGGTCTCTGTTGTATCATGTCAAATATCATGCTTTTTACCCCTTGTGTCTTCCTGTTATCTTTTTACATTTTAATCTCTCTTATGTTATTTATGTTGTAACTTTATTTCCCACATCCTATTTTCCCTCCTTTTTCTTTTTCTGTGTGACTGGATCTGGTCATCTATAGATACAGACTTTGGGTGTGTGAAAAAATCTCCAGCTCCCTGGAAGATTTCTGATTTAGACATTATAGTGGATCCTATTCTGTCACCTCCCTCTCTTCAATCTGCTGTTCACAATATCAGCCATTCGGCATCTACTCTTTCTGAGATCCTGAACTGTGAGTCCATAGAAGATCTTTGGCAAGATAAGAAATCCCACATTTAATATGGTCATCTGAGCTATGGCACACAGATGCATATTAAACAGAAATTTTTAGAAATTCTGTCATGTGTATAGTAGAGGAGCTTGCATGCACACTTTGAAATGTGTGTGTGTGTCTGTGTGTCTGTGTGTTTGAGAGAGAGAGACAGAAAATGTTTGTGACTTAGTATTTCAGCAAGTAAATGTTTTATAGCTATTCAAAAAGCTGAATAGGTAGGTTTGAATATAGAATGTTCACTAGATCGTGCAGTTAGTGAATTCACATCATATACTGTCCAATCTGCATGTCCACAGGACCAGTATCCAAAGTTTTATGTATCCACATCTGACAAATTATGTCCTTTCTAAGCATTTTCTAAGTCCTCCATACAATTGCCAGAAGTCCTTCTTTTCAATAGGTCTTGCTATTATCCCCCTTTAAACACAACCACAAGAAATCTAAGGACATATTCCCTATGGAAATGGTGGTTGTATTGTACACGTGGGTAGATGTACATATTTTTTGAGTTTAATAATAATTCATGAACTGACAATTTATTTATTTATTTACATTATTTCTATCCCGCCCATATCAGCCCGAAGGTGACTCAGATCGGCAATTTGCAATTTGATAGGTTGCTGAAAAGAAGTTCTGGCTGTATGTATTGTTCTTAAACAGATTACTGGATCCAAATACAGATTCAGAAAGACAAATGGATGTGTTTATTCATGCCTGTTTCTCTAATATAATTTCCTTTTCAAAACTGCACCAAAGCCTCAAATCTACTTACTGTTTGAACCCAGTTTTTGGGCTTCTCATTAAATTGCTATTATCTCTGATCTTTAGATTACTTCCCAAATGGTTCAAACCTGATAGCATAATGAGACAATTTTTAGAAACAGAAAGAAGATGAATTGCAATAATGCCACTTTACCTCCCAAGAGCTGTACAAATACTTTTGCGTGCTCAAGGAGGTTTCGGTTTCATCTCTTGAACAGCTGATTTCCATTTTGGAAGTAATTACTGTTACAGGATCTTTGAAAATCACTTTGTGGTACAGTGTTGAGACCCTGTAAATGAGTTTTTGTGTCTCTAGTTCTACCAGTTGTTTAGAACGAGTGGAAACAAACCTCTCAGATATGCTCTGAATCCTGGCTGATAGAAATGTTGCCTCAGAGGTTTGTTTTCAGAATTCTTCCTTTCTATCTGTCCCTAATACTGTCAAGAACTGAACTCTGGTATCTTTCCTCTGATATTCGCTTTGTATGATACTGGGATTGTGATTATTTAAAAATGATGGAAACAAGTTGCACAAATAGGCAAAGCAGTCAGAAAAGAAGCTGTATTCCAACATATATATTTTTTAAATTTTGTAGTATTCTTTAATAAGGAGCAGTATTTTTTTAAAGCAAATTGCTGTTCTTAAAGAAGCTGCCAATATAAAGCTGGGTCTTGAGGGATGATATGAATGTGTATAAATGGAAATCTTGATGCTAACATCTGTTTGGGTACACTTGATTTTGGGTAGATCTGCTGGCCAGTTCTGAGGTTTAAAATCCCTGTTATATAGTGTATTCATGCAAGTTTCCCACTTGTGTTGTGATCATCTGAGTTTTCTCCAGCCTGATATTCTATAAGTTACATCATCCCCAACCCTGAAGAAATCATAAGAGGGCTAGGTCTTGGAAGGAATGAAGGAACTTGATAAGATTCTCAAGGGTAAAGGTCATTGCATACCAAGATCAGGAGTGCCCATGACACTATATTTCCAATTTCTATGTATGGTGTTGAAATTTGACAGTGAAGGAAGCCGATAGGAAGAGAATCAATTCATTGGAATGTGGTGCTGGAGGAGAGTTCTCCAGCACCACGGATCACTAAAAAAGACAGATAAATGAGCAAATCAAGCCCAACTGTCTCAAGAGGCCAAGATGACTAAGCCCAGTTGTGGTCATATCACAAGAAGATGTGTGTGTATATTTTCTTAAGCAAAGAATACAAGGAGGGATCTGTGCTAGTTATTTCCTGAAACATTTAGCATACATCACCTGTTTCTCATTTGCAGCCTCTCTCTAAGTACTAAATAGAGTTGGCCCTGCTTAACTTCCACAGTTAGACAAGATCTAGTGCCTTTTTAAGGACATTTAGGAATGAGAACACACGATTTGCTAGAAAAGGCAAGAATGCTTGAAGCAGAAGGCATTAGGAAAAGAGGAGGAATGCATTACAGGTGCATAGAGTCAATCAAAGAAGTCACTCCTGACATGAAAAAAAACCTGAAGTCAACCTGATGTCAGTTAACAGTAACAAAGCCAATAGCTTAGATTTTTATTTATTTATTTGCTGTATTTATACTCCACCCTTCTCCCCCGAAGGGGGACTCATCATATGACCTCCAGGTATCTAGTTAATATAAAGCTGAGTCTTGAGGGATGATATGTAAGGGAGGTCACCATTGAATGTGTAGAAATAAGAAGTCTTGATGCCAGCATCTATTTGGATGCATTTGTTTTTGCCAGAGATTGAGTCCAGCAGAAATAGATTACATAAGCCTGAAATTGGTCTGTCCTTGGACTAAACTGAAAATGTTTTCCAGTAATTAAAGTGGGACATGGATCTTTACAGTACTGATTTGCGAGTTAAAAGGTTCAAAGCAATTTTTTAAGATGAGTGCTCCAAAAATAAATCTTATCAATTATTCATTTGTATTTATTTTGAGCATTTATAAACACCCAAAAATAGATTTTAGGGTAGTTCAGAGAGCCACCCAAAGAGAGGTCCCTTTTTGGGAAACATATTTCTGAATTTGGAGGGAATATTCAGGCTTGGGTGCTTTTGATATCATCTTTATCCAATTCTCATTTAGCATACCTTACTTACTAAGTAGGCACAAAGTTGAGGTAGGGTTGTGGTGGGAGGAATAGAAAGTTTTCACTTGACTTTCTGATACTTTGTACTATCTCAGATGATGCTAAAAGACGGTCATGGATGGTATCAGATCTCGATGTTGGACCTGAACACAGCTCTTCATGGCATTCAGGAAACAAAAAACAGCAGTTCCTCCACTGTATGTTACACCAATATCAACATAAATCATTTGCTTCTCCAATCAGCAATCACAAATTATACTCTTTCTATGAGTCATGTTTCAATCTAATAAATCTATATAATGCAGCCAAAATTTGAAATGGGATGTTTAATATTATCCATTTTAATTTACTCTGATTTCAATATAATCCTACTCTATGGCTTAGTTTCCTTTACAGAAATAGTTATCTTTCTGGGAGATATTTAATTAAACTTAGAAGCCCATTTATAATTATTTCCATAACTGCAAACACACAGACCACGGAAAACAAATTATATAGGAATATAATTAAGCATATATTAATATGACATAAGAATCAGGAAACTGTCATTACGAATATTGATAGAGACTAGAATTTTAAACCATAATTTGAAGTTGGTTTAAGAATCTGACCTATTCTGATCCTCTTAGCTCGAGTTCCTTAATTTTGACGGCAAAGGAAACAGTGGTTAAATATCCCTGGATTATTGGATTGTAATGCATCAAAAAAGAGTAAAGGTGGTGCAAGACAAGGCACATAGCTCAAAGTCTGTGCATATATCAGTTTAATAAGTCAAGATATGTGGCTTTCAGTGGAGATCAGTAGCACCATAAAATAGTATTTCTATAGAGGGATATATGCTAGTTCCAGAGTATGGGTTGGTTGAAGTCATTCTGTTGCCCAAAGTGGCAAGTCCTTTCCTTCTCAATGGCTCCCACTGCCAAATCAAGACACACCATATCCAAGGATGGCTTACTTATCTGGGCAGCTGAGGGAAAAATCATACAGTGAAAGCAAAAATATAGTAATATGTTAAAAGAGTAAGAGTTAGGTGCCTTTTCATCACATTCAGTCAAGCAATTCAAGATGTTAGCATATTCTGCCTAAAGTTAAGATCAATCATATAAAAGCAGGTCAGACATATGTACTAACTGGGCTCTCATTTCTGTATACACTTCAGACAGATAGAGGGGCATAGAACTGTTAAGAATTCTTTAGACACGAGGCAATAGGAGAGCTGGATACAAAGTGATTTTCTAATCATTTTGTTCCTTCATAATTCTGGTGAATAAACTTTTAATTTAACACATGTGCTTATTCTCAGGATGGCACAGAGGAGCAATCCACCACAACTGGGTTTCATCCACACATGCCAACTAGGCAGGAGTCAATACCCTTTTGCCATTTGATCCTTTGAGACTCTTTCCCATCTCAGTCGGGTTTTAATCTTCTGTCCTACAAATCTGATATGGTTTTGTCCCTTGCAGGTGTAGTTAGTGGGATTTATTAGTTTTTACTGTTAAATATCAGAAAACAAGTGGAGGAAAAGTCTAGGAACGATAAGAAAGAGGACATTTCAGATGTCAAGAAAAAGATCACACAGAACTGCAGCATGGGCAGAACAGTTGAATGGTTACGGGACTGTGATCAATAAACTAACAATAATGCCCAGAGGAGTGGGACTTGATTCTTCTTTAGGAAGGCCAGATTTTAAAGAGGACATGACTCTTTAAAAATGCAAAAAGTGTGATTTCTGATCTAAAGCAGGAAAGGTGTGTCATTGTGGAGTGTAAGAATGAGGTATTACCCCCAACTTGGACTGCAACCTCCCAGCAGTAAATATTAGAACATGTTTGCAAGGCATATTCCAGATTTCAAGCATGCCTGATTTTGTAAATCTCTAATCCTTTGATGATTCAATCAGAAAAATTACTTCAGCTTTGTCTTGTATCACCTGCATTATTGCCTTATATATTTGTGCACCAGAAACTCTTTAATAAACCATTTCTCTTTATTCCAAGCTAATGATGGAACCTGGCCAGCCCTTAAACAGAGTTCTCCTGTGGTAAAGCCCCCACAAATCCCCAGTGCAGACTGGAAGGACTCAAACATGGATGCTGCTTTGAAGCAGGGGACTATATCTACTCAGCCACTGTCGTCTTCGGGATTAGGAAGCACTGATAAACTGGTGAGTTTCTATCCTCCCCCTTTTTTTGGCTTTATACAATATTAAATAAATCCACTGCTTTCAAAGTTTGGTTACATTATCTCTTGAGTCCTTGTGTGCTTTTATTTTTTGATCTTCGGTCACTATTAGAGGTTTAAAAAGACCTTTTTTCCTTTGGCTGGAAGGACCACTTAGCCACCTTTCTGATAATTTTGTGTATGGGTTGCCACGAGTTTTCCAGGCTGTATGGCCATGTTCCAGAAGAATTCTCTCCAGATGTTTCACCCACGTCTATTGCAGGCTTCCTCAAGGGTTTTGGGATTTGTTGGAAACTAGGACAAGTGAGGGTTATATATCTGTAGAATGTCCAGGGTGGGAGAAAGAACCCTGTGTGAGGCAGGTGTGAATGTTATAATTGGTCACCTTGATTAGCATTGAATGGCCTTGCAGCTTCAAGGCTTCCTGCATGGGGGAATCCGTTGTTAGGAGGTGTTAGCTAGTCTTTATTGTTTCATGTCTTGAATTTCCCAATTTTCTGAGTGTTTTTCTTTATTTACTGCCCTGATTTTACTGGTAGCCAGATTTTGGTCATTTTCACGGTTTCCCCTATCTTGTGGAAATTATCCACATGCTTGTGGATTTCAGTGGCTTCACTGTGTAGTCTGATATGGCGGCTGTTATAGTGGTCCAGCTTTTCTGTGTTCTCAAATAATATGTTGTGTTCAGGTTGGTTTGTCAGGTGCTCTGCTATGGCTGACTTCTCTGCTTGAATTAGTCTGCAGTGCCTTTCATGTTCCTTGATTCGTGTCTGGGCAATGCTGCATTTGGGGGTCCCTATGTAGACTTGTTCACAGCTGCATGGTATATAGTAGACTCCTGCAGAGGTGAGAAGATCCCTCTTGTCCTTTGCTGAACAAATGTTATTTATCTTTCCCAGGGTCTTGATATGGGGAAAGTGCCACCAACCATCCCTGGAGTAAATAAGCAGTTGCCTCAAAATTACGGGACCTATCCGAGTGCTGTTCCTTTAGGAACAAGTTCTACCAATTCCCTGGAGAGGCGAAAGGACGGTAGCCTGCCAAGGCCTGGCTCCACAGCAGCAAACCGGCAAAGGCCTGTGCCGTTGCCTCCAGCAAGCAACATTCATCAGCCCAGCTCCTCACAACAAATACAGCAGAGGATATCCGTGCCTCCAAGCCCTACATATCAGCCTTCTGGTGCTCCACTGTTTCCAGGAGGCGATGGCAGGCCTGATCTCCCTTTAACTGTAGCCATCAGGCCTTTTCTAGCCGACAAGAGCTCAAGGCCCCAGTCTCCTAGGAAAGGGCCCCAAACGGTGAACTCCAGTTCCATCTATTCGATGTATCTTCAGCAAGCGACTCCACCAAAGAACTACCAGCAAGCTGTCTACAATACTCTAAACAAATCAGTCAAAGCAGGTAATTTGATTTTTTTTCTGAAAAGGTTTTAAAGGCTGCTTGATAATTAAAATAATTTAAATTAGGGTTTCAGGGCCATATTTTTAATTGAAGTGGTTAAAAAAATGAAGCACCATGTTAACCCCGAAATTATTGACTGTAATCCTTCACTGGGTATACAGTACAAGTCAGAAACAATGTGTAAAATTTGGAAGGATAGTATGAGGGGTTAGGGGCTGCAGTAACACAGCAGGTTAAACCACTAAACTGCAGATCTTGCTGATCGGAAGGTTGGCGGTTCGAATCTGCAGACAGGGTGAGCTCCTGTTGTTATCCCCAGCTTCAACCAATCTAGCAGTTCTAAACATGGAAATGTGAGTAGATGAATAGGTACCGCTTTGGCGAGAAGGTGATGGTACACCATGCAGTCATGCTGGCCAGATGACCTTGGAGATGTCTACGGACAACTCCAGCTCTTCAACGTAGAAATGGAGATGAGCACCACCCCACAGAGTCGGACTCTACTAGACTTAATGTCAAAGGCAAATCTTTACTTTTACCTTTAATATGAGTGGTTATGTTGTACTATAAATTAAAACAGTGGGCTTTATGATCCAGAAATAATTTTAAGTGTGTTTTGTCTTTTACACACCCAGTAACATGGGGAGGTAATTGACGTGTGCCTAAACCTAAAAACAAACACTGCTAATACTGCCTCACTTTTCAAACCTGTTTAATTCAGTATATTCGTGAGTGGTTCTGAGAAGTGAAGCAGTTGATAAGGGATTTTATTAGTATCTTTCTGAAAGAGAGATAGAAGAATTAAAATGGTGATGAAATACTTTGGTGAATCTTTACTTCAAAGTAGAATGTGTACAAAAAGGGAGAAGTGGAATGGTTAGAGGAGTTGGATTAAAATTCACCTGAGCTATTAAGCCTCTAAGGGAGAAGAACTGCCTGCAGTCTTGAACTACATTAGAGCTCCAAAGAGGAAATTAAATTCTTTGCACTCATATTGGAAATGTCTCGGTAAAAATCCCCAGGGCTGTCAACTCATAACTAGTAAACTCATGTTGGAAATTTGAACTGGGTGTGTGTAACAAAAATTTTATATATAGTTTCAGCTCAAAACCACTAGTGCATTTTATTCTATCAGCTGTCTATTAAATGGGTTCAAAGGACAGGATTCTTTCAATTGGAAGGAGTTATCTAGTACTGTCTTTTTTTGGTGGACATCTTTGGGGTGATGCCCATTGTTTCTCTTGTCCTTGTTTATAGCTCATCTTATCTGTATTTTGTAAGATAATATTCAGGGAAGCAGAGAATCTTAGACGGGGGATTAGCTGAAATATTTTTGTCTGAGTAATTCCTTTTATTTTGTTTGTTTTTTTTTTGCCAAAAATGAAACTTTACATGCAGGAATAGCCACCTTGATTGTAAAAAAAAAATATTCCAGAGTACACATTTATTAATACTTTCATTAGGCCAACCAAAAGGCACAACATTAATCACTCATAGTTTCAAAGCCCATGGGGTTCTTCATCAGGTAGAGATGGCCAACATTATGTGGGAATAAAGTGAGTGTTGAAACCACAGGTTTGCATGTGACTTGCTTGTTTGCTTGAGGTCTTATCCCCTAAAGATGTGTGTGGGTAGAAAGCTCAGGCCACACCCTCTATGGCCACTAGATGACTGAGAACTTAAGTAGTATTTACAAAAGCGGTAATAATTCTCTTCCCCATTGACATCTACAAAACACCTCCTTTTGAGATCTGGGTCTGCCTTTGATCCATGCCAGTCCCTAGGCTTCTTTTTTTTAACCTTAGGCTTGCCTAAGAAGAGACTTAAGGTCTTGCACAAGGCAGAGGCAGATGATGGCAATGGAGGAGGAAAACGGTACTGCTGTTGTTCTCAGTATCCTTTAGGGTTTGGACTTTTCAGGGAGCTATTTTCCATGGTATATCCTTTGCATTGCCCCTGTTTTGATAGTTTGTGGATATAACTATCAAATTTATAATGGGTTGCAATGAGTTTTCTGGGCTGTATGGCCATGTTTCAGAAGCATTCTCTCCTGACATTTTGCCTACATCTATGGCAGGCATCCTCAGAGGTTGTGAGGTATATTGGAAACGAGACAAAGGAGGTTTATACAGGCTGAGGCAGCATCACTTCCTTTTTTCAAAACTTAATAAAACCCATTGTGTGAATCAGAAATTTTTATTTTTTTTATAATGTAGGCGCATACTTAAGTTTTGTTTTACATAGTTTTGAAGATCAAATTAGGTAGGTGATGTCCCCCATTCTCCATACACCGAGTAAACCGATTTCTGGCAGTTGTCATGATTCTTGCCAGCACAGTAGACGTTATGTTGGCAATTTCTTCCTGGATGTTGGTCTTCAAATCTTGTAGGGTCTTTGAACGGTTCACATAAACACGGGATTTTTTTTAAAAAAAACCATAGAAAAAAATCACAAGGGGCCAAATCTGGAGAGTGGGCCGGCCACTCCAAATCTGCTCAAAAAGTAGGCCTCAACGGCAAAAGCACGCTCCTCACTGTTCCAGCACATGATGGCAACTGAACTGTGTCAGGACAAAAGTTTATAATCCTACCTCTCGAACGAGACCACCACGCTCTGCTACGTCTTCAACCGACTGAATTGCGCACATTTTAAAAAAGGAAGTTATGCTGCCTCACCCTGTATATCTGTGGAAGGTCCAGGGTGGGAGAAATAACTCTTGTCTGTTGGAAGCAAGTGTGAATGTTGCAATTAATAATCTTGATTAACATTTAAAAGCCTTATTTCTTCAAGAACTGGCCGATTCCTGCCTGAGGGAATCCTTTGTTAGGAGGTATTAGCTGGCGCTGATTGTTTCATGTCTGAAATTCTCCTGTTTTCAGTGTTCCTCTTTATTTACTGTCCTGATTTTGGAGGTTTTTTTTAAATACTGGTAGCCAGATTTTGTTCATTTTCATGGTTTCCTCCTTTCTGTTGAAAATTTTAATGTCTAAAATATTCACTGATTGAAATGTTAGAAAATCAACAGTTGTCACCATTTTTCTATTATTTCTAAAATAAAAACAGCAATACTGAATAGTTATTCCTTGTTCCTTTAGAACTGTTGCTCACTACTACTCTTTCCCTTCAGTTTATGGGAAGCCAGTTGTACAGTCTGGTTCGACTTCTCCTTCCCCATTACCCTTCCTCCATGGATCTTCTCCGGTCAACGCATCCCAGCCTCCGCCTCCAAATGAGTATATTGAGAAAGACCAAGAGGTGGAAAACACGGCACCTGCTGGTGATAACAGCAATGTAGAAAACATCCCTCGCCCCCTCAGCCCCACCAAGCTCACCCCCATCGTCCATTCTCCCCTTCGCTACCAAAGCGATGCCGACCTGGAGGCTCTTCGCAGGAAACTTGCTAACGCTCCCCGGCCCCTGAAGAAGCGGAGTTCTATCACCGAACCGGAAGGCCCCAGCGGACCAAACATCCAGAAGCTATTATACCAACGCTTTAATACCCTGGCGGGAGGGATAGAAGGCGCCCCATTTTATCAGCCAGGAAACTCACAGGACTTTATAGGCACCTTAGCCGATGTTGACAACGGAAACACCAACACCAATGGCAATATTGAGGAGCCAGTTTCAGTGCCCTCAACGGCTCCTCTGCCTGATGAGTCTTCGTCGGATGCTAACGACAATGAATTGCCCTCTCCTGAAATTGAAGAGCTGATCAGCGTAGAAACCACAAATCAAACATCTGAAACAACTGAGGATGATAACAACAACAACAACCCTGCGGTAGCCCCTTCTGTGGAGCGGCCACCAAGCCCAACCCCTGAGGCCAATTCCCCAGAAGAAGAAGAAGTCCAACTGCCTCCTGATCTCCCACCTCCACCTCCTCCTCCACTTCCTCTGGTAAGTCATTATAAAAATGTGATTAGGACTGCTATGGAAGGGCAAGTTTCTGTGCAAATGTGTCTACACCAGGCATGGGCCAACTTCAGCCCTCCTGGTGTTTTTGGACTCCCAACTACAATTCCTAACAGCCAGTAGACTATTAGGAATTGTGGGAATTGAAGTCCAAAACACCTAAAGGGCCAAATTTTGCTCATGCCTGGTCTATAAGATGCCATGCAATCGCTGTGTGTGTCTCCTTCATATGCATTGTAGTCCTTCTAATAGCCATCTCCACCTCATATACAGATATATCAGTATATACTGATTTTCTACTAAATAGAAACAAACTAAACTGCTTCTTAAATGCAGGATTAAAAGTGTTAAATCAAGCCAGGTACAAAAGCAAGATTTATGTTTATTCTGGCATGAATCTGCTTTGATTAGGCACATCTTTATTATTAAGGTGTGCACAACTCATGTGATCCACCAGGCGGGTCAACAAGGACATGAGGACTGAACATGAAGACATAGTTTTAAAATTTTTATTGTTCACTGTTTTTATGCTTTTAAATGCATTGTGATGTTTTTTTCAATTTTTAATAATGTATGTATTTTATATATGGCATTGAATTGTGTTGATTTGTTTGCCACCCTGAATCACCTTCGGGCTGATATGGGCGGGGTAGAAATAGCGTAAATAAATAATGTCTCCCAGATCGTTGACACTTTTCCTTCTTTAGCATTTAGCAGACTGGCAAACAGAAATATTTTATTTATTTATTTACCACACTTTTATCCCGCCCTTTTCAGCCCGAAGGTAACTCAGGGCGGTGTACAGACTGGCAATAATTAGATGCCGAACACACATAAATACATTGTCTAAAATAGGTTAAATCACATAATAAAATTCATATAAAAACAATTTAAAACTATTAAAATAAATGACTTTGATTCATCAGTCTGTTGATGGGCATCATTCAGCTTCTGAAGCGGCAAACTGTGCTGGCCTACCTTAAGGTCTTTTGAAAGTTCAGTTGATGGGTTATGGTTCAGAAACAAATTGTGCCCAAAATTACCTGACTCATACTAGTAGCAATTTTTAATCAGAAAAAGGTGGGCTCTATATCTGTAGGACAAAACCTGAATCCTGAATGCAAAAATACTGAAGGATACTATTGTAAAGCACAAAAACAATTCAAATAGATTAGTCTTTTCAGTTGTGTTATGGATAATTCTGGCAATGTTTTGGACCAAATTGTGAGTTCCCCGTTATCCTTCTTATTACTGATCTTTGTTCCTTCTCCCCCAAAATCGCATTTGAATGAAAATACTGCACCCTCAGTAGCTCCATAATAAATTTTATTTGACACAATGCAATTTAGAATCTTGCGGCATCAGCCTGAAAATAACTGTCACCTTATTACCCAGATCAAAAGAACCAACCTGAAGAAACCCAACTCGGAGAGAACTGGCCATAGCTTGAGGGTGAAGTTCAATCCCTTGGCCCTATTGCTGGATGCTTCCCTGGAAGGAGAGTTTGATCTGGTGCAGCGGATCATCTATGAGGTATGATTACATGGCTAGATTCTTGTTGTGCTTTGAAGTCAGAAAATGTTTTAAGCCCCATGTATTCATGCCATTTTCCCTTGCCTTAGGTTGATGACCCCAGCAAACCGAATGATGAAGGAATCACCCCTCTGCATAATGCAGTGTGCGCTGGCCATCACCATATTGTTAAGTTCCTATTGGACTTTGGTGTCAACGTGAATGCAGCAGACAGTGATGGATGGTAAGAGACAAAGTCGAGCGCACTCTTAATTCTAGATGCAGCACAAAGAATAGAAAGGGCCAGTTACTAGTTTGACTCCCTCTTAGTACACGTGATCATGTGTTTTGCTTCACTTTCTTCTGTTGAGTCTTCTATTTCTGCTTTGTTTCAGGACTCCTTTGCACTGTGCTGCCTCTTGCAACAGTGTTCATCTTTGTAAGCTTCTTGTTGAATCTGGAGCAGCCATTTTTGCTTCAACTATAAGCGACATAGAAACTGCAGCAGATAAGTGTGAGGAGATGGAAGAAGGCTATATTCAGTGCTCTCAGTTCCTATATGGTAGGTTACAAGTCTGATATTTTGCCATTAATTTTGACATTTGAGATTCTTAGTTTGAATTTGTCCTTACTTAACGAGTTCAACATCCACCCCAGTGAATTCATGATTACATTACAACAAACATTTAGATTATATATACTGAACTGGGCTGGTTTTTTTTTTCTGAAAATGTTCAGTCAAGTAAATCTTCAAGGCAACTTACAGCAGAATCAAAAATAATAATGCAATAATGGCATCAACCATGTACACACTAATCATTAAAAGCATATTTGGATAATCTTTTAGAACAGTGGTTCTCAACCTGTGGTCCACGGAATGCAAACATGGTCCACAGCCTCACCATTACTACACCGTTTCCTCAAAACCACATAGCAATAAGAGCGACTGGTCTCACAAAACCCTCTTATAGTGCCAAGGCAACAGGGATGTCGGGAGGGGGGAGGCTGACTACCGATTAAAGATTACTATTATCACATTACCTCTGGATTATTAAATGTAGTTTTCTGTGTGCAAGCAGATGGCGACTACTGGGTGGCATATGTTCTGTATCCAAAACTAGAGCTGATGTGGTCTATCTGATGCAGTTTTCTGAATCAGCACCCCAAATAACCAAACCGAATCGAAAGTTGACCAAAAACTGATTCGTAACCATTTTGATACTAATGTTGGAGTGGTCCCTTGTCCAAAATAAATAAATTTTTAAAAAAGGTTGGGAATGACTGTTTTATAACATTTAGACCAGAATCTTCTTGATAACTTATACCAGACATGGGCAAACTTCAACCCTCCAGGTGTTTTGAACTTCAGTTCCCACAATTCCTAAGAGCGGCTGTTAGGAATTGTGGGAGTTGACGTCCAAAACACCTGGAGGGCCAAAGTTTGCCCATGCCTGGCTTATACTGAAATAACCCCCAGCTGTTCAAGGCAGCCGGTGCATTTTTTTCTCTACCACAAAAAAGTTCCAGAAGGGAAGACAGAATAGTAAAATCCCTTGTCATTTGTACTACAAGCACCATCTCCAGCCAAGCTTGAATGAGGCCTTATATAATACACTGGTTCTGAGTAATATTTGCCTTTCTTAAGAAAAAGCTCACTGTAAATGAGCCCCTCCTAGCACAATACAAATTATTCTTGTACCAGTGTAATCTTAAGTTTTATAGCAATTAAATCAGATCCTGGTTGGAGCTATGGAGCTTTGTGGGTCCCAACAAGACTTATTTTTTAGATACATGTTTCTGGAAATGTCAAGCAGAGTTACTTCACATGTGTTCTAGTGGAGCAGGGAACTTGAGGTAGTTTTGTAATTGAGCATAATGGATATATTCTGTGGAATAGTTTGTTTGCAGAGATTCGGGTGGAGAGACAATGGTAAATGAAGTGGTGATATTTGATGAAGAGCAGGCATGTTTGTTGGACCTATGCGATATTAGTAGTTGCTTGAAACTGAGTGAGATTGCTATTCTGCCTGCCTTAATACTGTCAACATGAATGTTCAGAGTTGCTCTCTAAGGCTTCAAATGAGAAGTAATGGTTGCTTACCTGTTTTTCTCCGAGTGGTCACCTGTAAAATTCACGCATATGGTAGTTTGCACAGGAAATAGCATATGTGCGATTTCACAGGGACCACGCTGGAGAATCTGTCTTACCTGAGGAACAGTATACACTCTTAGTCACTCTTCTGTTAACCAGGCCCAAACCTGCTGAGTCTCAAAAATCAGAAAAGACTGGACACGTTCAGACTAGTATGATTGTTTCTTTGTCTCTTATATAATCTTATTGTTGAAAATAGGTGTGCAGGAGAAGTTGGGGGTCATGAACAAAGGTGTAGTGTATGCACTGTGGAATTACGAAGCTCAGAACAATGACGAGTTGTCATTCCACGAAGGCGATGCCATTACCATCCTGAGGCGCAAGGATGACAATGAGACGGACTGGTGGTGGGCACGCCTCAACGAGAAGGAAGGCTACGTGCCCAAAAATCTCTTGGGGGTAAGTTTGACACATCTCATGATGGAAGCGTTTATTTCAAAACAGAAAACAAAATTCCAGATCCGCTAGGACAGAGTTCTGCAGGGTTTTTGTTGAGACAGAAAAGACAAATACCTAAAAACAAAGTGCCAGTTGTTGGTTGCTTGCACATTCACATAAATGCACCTGGAGCATTCTTCTAGGTGCAAGTCTTCTTGGATAAACATACTAAATACTACCAGAAAGTTATAGAAATCTACTTTTGATTTTGAAAAACTGAAGCAAATTTAAATGGTAAACTGTTGTTCTGGAAAGTTTCCAGAATAACAGTTCACTCTCTTTTTGGCTGGATAAAGAGAAGTCTAGGAACTACTGATGGCCAGATATAGCTCTAGGGCAGGCATGGGCAAATTTGGGCCCTCTAAGTGTTTTGGACTTCAACTCCCACAACTCCTAAGTCCAAAACACCTGAAAGCCCATGCCTGCTCTAAGGCCAGACTCTGGTTTATACTGAAGCTTCCATTGGGGCTTGGTAGCACTATTAGTAAAAGTATCTAGAGCAGGCACGGGCAAACTTCGGCTGTTAGGAATTGTGGGAGTTGAAGTCCAAAACACCTGGAGGGCCGAAGTTTGCCCATGCCTGCTCTAGAGTGTCATGTTGAAGTGCAGCAGCTGCGTATTTGAACAAAAATTCTGATAAAGATTCCTCATTTTGGGAATAATTGAAATGATACTAGCAGACATTGAGGGAAGGAACTATTAGTGTGCATAGAAATATAAAACCGTTCCTTGACTCCTCTAATGTGGTTGTTCAAATGTAAGAATACTTCTTTGCTAGTTATAAAACCTTTGTGTAACCATGAATTCCTTTCATTGCAGTTATACCCAAGGATCAAACCTAGGCAACGAACTCTGGCCTGAATCCCACTCTTTGGCAATACAGTATATCTTGCTGGTAACTGGAAGATGAAAGTATACACTGGATACATTTTCAATTACATTTCACCAGAAGTTAAGCTATACTTGTTTTAAATGGTGCTCTTGTTTCATATAATGGACCGCGTTTGAGGTTTTTCGATCTGCAATTCGTAAGTGAGATCTGCTTTATGTCATCCCGCCCGGTCTCTGGGCGAGGCGCTCCAACGCAGCCGACAGTGTTTCTGCCAACCGAACTTTAAAACCGTGCGCTCAATGTTAAAACCTTTGCAAAACGCAGATATGCTCTCTGATCAGTCGTAGTCCGCAGTAACTGTCCTGACATGTCAAGATGTTTATTATTAAAATTGTCAACTGAGTGTTGCATTTGCTGTGTAAATCCTTCAAAGCTCTCAGCAACAGTTGACATCTGGGAGTTACCAACCGTCTTCTGGAAGGAAAGGTGTTACTGATATATGACAAGAAAAGCATCAAGGATGAGTAGATTTTGCACACCTCTCAAAACCGCACTCGTTCCTTCACGTGATTTTTTTTCTTGCTATTTTCTGCTTACAGCACCAGTTTCCCCCGTATTCCGTTATGCTTTCTTTTTTTTCATATTAATGCCCTGAATTCCATCTTCTGGATAAACCTGCATTCAGATTGAAGGGAATCTGTATGTCTATATGGAAGGAAAGTGCAATAGTTGGGAAGGGTAAGAGTCAGGTTAGACAAAAGCTCAGCGGGGTTCACTTTGAGAACCTTTAAATCTTATCTGTGAGTGACTGAAGGATTGACTAAAAAGGCCAGATTGGTTGTGAAGAGTGAAGGGGAGAAAGAAGAGACTTTTGGGAAAGACGACGACTTGCTGTTTGAGGCAGAACGGCATCTCTGTGGTTCTTGACAGCCCTGCGCCCGATGCCAGGGTCAGTAATGCAATAACTTGATCCACTATCTAGTTTCAAGCAAAACTACAAAAAAGCACTTCACTGGAATAGAAAATTGTACATGGTTTTATATAAAGAAGTCTATTTTGAATTCCCCGTTATGTTGTAGCCATACATGTTTTATAATTTCCTCCCTGTAAACTGTAGGCCAAGTGTCCATTCTCCATGTACACATTTTGTGCATAATTTATATCCATCGATGCAGTGCTGTAATTTGCTTTTACCACTGTTTTAGCATTAATTGTATATATTGTGGTGATAAGAAGTGAAAAGGGTATTGTAAAAGAATATTTGCTAAATGACTGTGAGTGAAAAGCCTACGAGACACTGCTCATCCAGTGTGCACAATAAAACTACTGCTAAGGTACGGTTGGGCTTCCAGGTGTTTCTTTTCTTAAGGTTGGAAATCTTTTTGGAAGAATGTTATCAGGGACATTCATTGAGTATATCTAATGCAGGAATGGGCAAACTTCAGCCCTCCAGGTGTTTTGGACTTCCAAAACACTTGGAGGGCCACAATTTTGACACCACTAAGGGCATTTACATTGTGTGTGTGGGTCAGCCTCTGCCTAGTCATTTTAGGTCCAGGAGAGGCCAATAAACACTTCCTGCTCTAGAAAAGGTCTGAACTGGTCCAAATCTGACCCTCCACACTCCCTTGGTAGCCAATAAAAGGGTCCTACTGGGCACCTTTTACACACCTATGTCGTCCATGTGCCATATAGAAAGGACCGTTTCAAAACGATAGACTCAATTTGAAATCACTGTTATTTCTGCAACCACAAACGGTCCATGAATGAAACTTATCACTTGAAAAGGTGGGACACAGAGTTTCAAGTCCTTCTCCCAGCTCAGAAACAGTCCCAAGCCTCATTCATTTGCAAGATGGCAAACCCACAAAATAGGGCCTCATGAGATATTCTCCAGTTGAGTTATTTTTAAGATTTGTGCCTAGCTCAAAGTGGTTAGTAAAATGTGTTAACTCACTAAATTAAGACCTCACAACCTCTGAGGTTGCCTGTCATAGATGCAGGTGAAACATCAGGAGAGAATGCTTCTGAAACATGGCCATACAGCTCAAACTCACAACAACCCAGTGATTCCAGCCATGAAAGCCTTTGACAATTTACTAAACTAAATTTTTGTGTGATGTAACATGTCATCATGAAATGTACTGCTTTGAAATTGGGTCCACATTTTCAACAATCTGTAATTCGACACCTCATTTTTCTGAGTTACAGCCTGAGTGCAATGCTGACTTTTGGCTTTCTCCACAGCAGTCTACTTTTGCCCTATAGCTTCCAACCCTAGGGAAATTTCTTGCGCTTGCTTACAACTGTTTCCTCTTTCTGAACCTGACAAAACTGAGTGCAGCATTTCTCCTCACTACTCCAACCAGCTTCCATTTCTATTATCACAAACAGGCTTCTGTAGTATTTAATAAGATTTTATTAGCCAAAGCTAGAATTACCACAAAGCATGAATATAAAAACTTCAAAAATCTGTCTTTCTGGAAGCTTCATTCAAAAAGATCAACTTTACATGTAACGGTTTGTGGTATTTGGTAAATAATACTTTACAAAAAAAGTGTTTAGTCTCATTGATACAAACTCCTCACCATCAGAGAAAGAGTGGCTTCTATAAAATGACACCTAAGGCAGATTTCACACAGATCTCCACTTCTCGGCCTTTTGGCTAAGACCATATTTAGATCATTTTGGATATGAGGAGCAAAAAACCTGAGATCTACATGCCTGAAAAAGCTATTCTCTGGAGCATCAAAGTCTCTCCCCACTTTAAACACAGTATACATAATCCATACTACAAAAGTTGTGCTATACATGTAGCCGTAGTGCAGGTCACACTCCATTTTACATATTAAGTGCAGACAAGATTTAACAAAATAAAGTCATAGATGCAAAGGCTCTATTTAAAGCATTAATAAAACTGTATACATATTGCACACTAAATAAGTGAATACTTTATAGGTCAAATATTCACATTGTAATTGGCCAGTGTCCACATGATAGACCACATTTAGGAGAGGAAGGAGGTTTGGGGAGGGGAGGAGGATCCCTATGACCAAGAACGGGTTACCATGTGTCAACTAGCAAGGAAGAAGAACGCTGCTTATTCGGAGAGCTGATCTTTCCCCTCGAGTCAGAGAAGCTGTTATTGGTCCCTAGATTCATAGAGCAGTTTTGCAGCCTGCAATGAAAGACAAAGAATAATTAGAATTAAGGAGCACCATTTAAGGAAGTTCTCAAAATGTGGGTTTCTTGTCTTGATCAGCTGGCAAGAGTTTATTTATGACATTTTTACCCCACCTTTCCCACCCTGGAGGGGACTCAAGGCGGCTTTACATACAGGCAATGATTTGATGCCTTAAAACACAACGTACACTTAAATAAATATTAAAATAGGATTTAAAAGTACTTTAAAACAATTAAAACATTTATAAACAATAAATTCAAAGTTAAACACATAATCCACGAGCATAATCCGGGCTGTTCTAATGGTTACTGCACATTGTTCCAAGTCTATTTCACAAGTTCTCTAAAGGCTTGGTCACAAAGCCACATTTTCACTCTTATGGAAGGTTAGGGGGGAGGGGGTTGATTTAATATCCCTGGGGAGGGAGTTCCACAGCGCAGGGGCCACCACTGAGAAGGCCCTGTCTCTCGTCTCTGCCAATTGCGCCTGCGAGGAAGGCGGGACTGAGAGCAGGACCTCCCCAGATGATCTTAAACTCTGTGGTGGTTTATAGAGGAATATGTGTTCGTACAGGTAAGCTGGGTCAGAACTGTTTAGGGCTTTATAGGCTAAAGCCAGCACTCTGGATTTTGCTCGGTAGCAGATTGGCAGCTGACATAACAGGGGGAGGTATGCTCCCTGTATGCCACTCCGGTGAGCAATCTGGCTGGCACCTGTTGGATCATTTGTAGTTTCCGAATAGTCTTCAAAGGCAGCCCCACGTAGAGCACAGAATAACCTAGATCTTTTCGCTCCTCTGAAAATGCTGAATTCTACAATCGTTTTGCCTGTAAAAGGGATCTGCTTCTCTCTTTGAGCTTATCTTGCTACTGTATATACTTTTACTGAAAGAGAGAGTGCATATGGCAGACACTGATGCCCTTTCTTCTTTCTAGAAGATAAGCTAATGATGCTGCTCTTTCTGTTGCTGCGGTCACAATGGTTTGGAATAGAGGATTAGAGGACAACTCACTTGGTACTCTGGGCAGGGATGATAAGGACATCAAAAGCCAATACTCTGTAACAACGATAAGCTATCACAGTTATCTCTGAAAGGCTACTGCTAGGGAATAGTGTTAGTGTCTACATGTCCTGCTTGGAGGGGGTTTTGAGGTTGGCTACTGCGTAAAGCCATCGTTGGGTCTGATTCAACAAAGGATATTCTTAGAGAGACATGCTGATCGTTCCCCTTCAAGTCAGAGAGGGATGTAATACTGCGTTTTAACCTTTCTCCAGATTGTTACCTTATGCATTGCTGCAAGCCAGGTAGCAGACAGCTTCTTGTTGGAATTGAAATCTTCACCAGCCATAAATTTCATCTGTTTGAGTTCCTCTGACCCTGGTTTCTTGTACTGAAGCAGCATACCAGTAGCCCGAGTATTGCCTCCTGGTGGAGAAAAATAACACGAGTAGGAGGAAATTATTTTTATGTTCTAGTGCAGTGGTGCTCAATCTGTGGGTCCCCTCCATCTCCCAGAAATCCTAACAGATGGTAAACTGGCTGGGATTTCTGGGAGTTGTAGGTCAAAACACCTGGGAATCCACAGGTTGAGAACCACTGCTCTAGTGGAAATAGATTAATGCAAGAGTGTTATGGTGTATATTATCTACAGAACCTCTAAATTGGTTCCTAGCTCCCATCAATCAGTGTCATGTGTATCTAACAATGTTCAACAACGGCAAGTTCAAAAGAGATGGGTAAAGCCTAACACAACTAAGCAAATATCAAGATCAAACTATAGGTCACACACAATGTGTTCTCCTTAATTTCCAAAACACAGACAGCATGTTGTGTAGAGTGGAGACATTACACACTAACGTTTGTTTTAAGGATGCAGTTTACTACAAAATTCTAGGAGTATAGAATTTTGTAGTAAACTGCATGGTGCAACTACAATCTTAGTCTACAATTCTTATGTGTCATAATTTGTATATTTAGTAGCAGTGCTTCCATTCAACATTCTGTATCACAGATGAACAAAAGGAAAGGCCACTCATGAGATATTAGGAGAAGCTGGGGTCTGCCAGAACGGCAGAAGAAATGAAGACTGAAATAGAACTTGGACCACCAAATGTTCCACCAGGAATTCTGGTTTTAAAAGGTGTGGCTTTGTGTTTAAGCGGACTTAATTTAATTCAATTTAATTTAATTAAAAAAATTTTTTTTTAATTTTTAAAATTAAATTACAATTAAATTAAAAAATTAAATCCCAGAAACTTCATCACTATTTGACATGCAAAATTTATGATGGGAATTAATTTTCATTAATGTTCTGCACCTGGAACTGCATTGATTCCTTGGAGCCATGAAAAGTAGCAATTCTTTAAGCCTACTTTTAAATGGGAGATTCGGAAACAAGAAGTGGGCTTCCAAACATCAGCCTGTTTGTGTGCTTTTGAATTGCGGGAGGCATTCTTTGGCCTCTCAGGAGCTCATTTACTCAGAGCTTAAAGGTTCTCGGTTGTAGTACACAATTACCCTTCCTTAAAAAATATTTTTGCAAGTTGATTAAATACATTAATTATCACCTTCCCCCTAAAGCGACAAATTTTTTGAACCAAATGTAGCTAAACAAATGTAGTTAAACATATGTGATTCTTAATGTAAACAGAATTATCAGCAATGTTTCCCATGGTAACTTAAATAGTTCTGGAAACCTACATACACCATTCTGAGGCCATGACTTGTTTCAAACTATTGCAAAATGTAAATAGTTTGATCCAATGAGAATAACCAAATTATGGGAGTAAATAAAATGAATACTAACTAAAAAAGGCAAAAGAAAAGGAGAAAGGAACAGATGGTGGCGCCACCTCCTGTTTGGTTAGCAATGGTTGGAGTTAAGAACTTTTCCATGATAGAAAAATATACTGTTTGTAATAGCAGAAAATCCAAAATTTTGTCCAATTCAGAATATTCCTAGAGACCCATGGTATAGAGAAAAGCTAGGAGAGCATGTATCTAGAGACAAATCTCCACAAATATACATAGCTTGGCTCACCACAAAACACTGAAAAGCTAAAATGGGTTGCTTAGATTCTGTCTTTTTTTAGTTTATGGAGCTTACATTTGGAAAGCAGATAACTGACTGTCATAAGAAGCTCTGCTTTATG